CCTCTCCTTTGTTTCATCAGTTGTTCCCAAGGAGCAAAGTTTTTCTTTTGCTAAATACAAATTCCGTTCCCACACACTCATTTCTTTCTTATATTAAATTAATATTAATAACGTGATACATGATCGGGTAGATAAAATCGTCGATTAGGGATTCGGTACTTAACTAACAAATGAAAATTTTTACGCAAAAGCTTTTTATAATTATTATCAAACTACTGTGTAAATCATTATGGAAGTTTTTATTGATTGATTAAGTTACTTGCAATAACAAACCCATCTTTGTCTTATTGTCTTATTGTTTCATTAAAGATAACTTCTAGTCTTCGCTTGAAAAAGCATAACTTCGGGTCTCGCAGAGGAAAATAATAGATGATTAACGTTCTAATAAAATAAAACTGTGATAGAATATTAAATAAAATTAATCGTTAAATAATAAAAACATTATAATATTTATTTTCTTTGTTTAAGGGGCTTTGATAAAAATAACAAGTGTAGTTAGTGTCTTGGTAAAAGGTAACAAATTGTGGGGCTTTGGTAAAAACCCACCGTTTATTTGCTTTAGTGAGCAAGTAAACAAGGTTAGAGTGTCAACAACGATTAGTAACGTAATTTGTTTTAATGAGCAAGCGGGAAAGGTTAGGACTAACATTGTTGGCTAACTAGTGGATGTCAATAAAGTATCGTAATTGTAAATGTAAGGCTGTTAAACAAGCTACTCGGTTGTTTTGCAAGTAAATCAAAGCGAGTTTGCAATCGGCCAATAAATATAACAAGGGTAAACGACTGAAACAAAAGGAACTTTATAGGGCCATCATTATTTAATTACAGTTATCTGGTACCATTAAGTGTGCTCACAAATTCGTCTAGATGCAGTAATTGAGAACCAAAGTAAATCTGTAAACTGACTAATTGACAAGCACCAAGTTATTAACTGACAAAGTAGCCCAAAAGCTAAGCCATAATTATTAATTAACCCAAATGATGCCTCACAATATCAAGAATCAGAAAACTGTAGAAAGTTTATTATAAAATAAAAAGATAAAATAAAAAGATAAAATAAAAAGATAAATAAAAAGAAGATAATAAATTTATAGTGGAGATTAAATTAGTCATTCATCACTTTACTAGAGTTTAATCAATTAATTAATGTTGTTAGTAATAAAATTTCCATCCATATTCAGATTTCCTTTATATAAATTAAATAATGGTTGTCATTTTTTTTTCAAAATGTTTTTTTGTCTTTGGTCTCTTTATATAAAAAACCCTCAAATAATGGAAATAAATAAAAAGATTAACAAATATTTGTCAATAATTTGGTATTAATTATATTATTAACTATTTTTACAAAATATTTCATGTCTACCTTATCATTCTATGCATATGATTGATTGTCTTGACAATATCTTTGTCATAGTAATTATCAAATTAGTATTAGTCAATAAATAAATTGAGAAAATTGATATTGGCAAACTATTTAAGTTATTGATTTGAATAAAATGATATTGATAATTCATTCATTAGAGTCTAAATAGTAATTATTATCATTAATATGTGAAAAATTATGATGAATGTCATACATTGATCTAGAAAGTCATTTAATTTGTAAATAATTTTGTAACCAATCAATATTAATTAATTAATTAATTAATATTGTTAAAATATAAATTCTATAAATGCTTTTACATGTACAACTTATTGACCAGAATATTTTCTTCTTTCCTTTTTTTTTAAAAGATGATAATCATAATTTTCTAGAATTAAATTAAGAAATGTCTATTTTTTTCTAAAAACCCCAAAATTAATTATCAATAATTTGTAAAGGTTTTGAAAGCTACTCCAATCAATCTTTTAACACTTTTCCATTTTTTTTTCTTTACTGCTATACGAATTTTTGTTAACATAAATTCCCTATGTTCTTCTAATTCTGCTCTGCTATATTTACCTTTACTTGGACCAGCTACTTGTAGAACAGGAACTTGTTCTTGTAAAGACTTATTAAATAAATAAAGTTTAGGTGGATTGTCATTGAATCTTACAGAAAGTGTTGACACCTTAATTTGTTCATCACCAAGAAGTAAAAAAATTTAATTAATTAATTAATTATATATATTAATAAATCAAACTATTTTACAAGTTACCTGGTTTGAATTTGTTTTCAAAATGCCATTTTTAGTACAAAGCCATCTGTGCTTAGGAATTATTCTAGAAGTCTTTATTATAAATTTACTAAACAATATTGTCATAAATTTTGATAAATAATTTTGATCAATTCTTTCTATAAAACTTGGTAATATTATTGGTAAAATCCTATCAATTGCCAATAAAATCAATAAACGAGTTACTACAGAATTATCAATGGTTGAGGAAAGAAGGAGAGAAAGAGTTGGATGATTTTGTTGAAAAAAGTATAATATTTTCTTTAAGAAGCCTTGCAATATAAAAGGTAATGCTCGATCTACTATCTTTGGTAATAAATATATCGGTATTGGATAGGGTTGTTGTCGTTTTAAATAATAATTGCCATTATTGTTAATACTAACAATATTATTATTATTTATTGGTAATGATGTTGGTGGTAATGATTGATGAACTTTTTGTGATGTGGGATGTTGTTTAAAAGATAAAGTAATGTCATTGTTTGCACCTGCTGCAATTGCCAACGTTGATTTTTTGATGTTGGCAGTGGCGGTGATTACATTTGTTGGAGACATTTCTGACAATTATTTTTATTAATAATTTCTCATGTTATTAAATTCGGTTACACCTAATACTAATTTTATTATATGCAACAAAACCAGACAAAGTGAACATTGGTATTACCAAGAATTTCAGGGATCAAAATTTAGTCATTATTATCACAATTACATTGTAATTATAATTTAACAGTCCAATTTGTTATCTTAAGTGATATATAGAAT